CTTTCTTTCTTTCTTTCTTTCTTTCTTTCTTTCTTTCTTTCTTTCTTCCTTCCTTCCTTCCTTCCTTCCTTCCTTCCTTCCTTTCTTTCTTCCTTTCTTTCTTTTCTTTTTTTTCTTTTCTTTCCTTTTCTTTTCTCTTTTCTTTTCTTTTCTTTTCTTTCTTTTCTTTTCTCTTCTCTTCTCTTTTTCTTTTCTTTTCTTTCTTTCTTCTTCTTACTTTCTGGGACAGGATGCTCCAGGCTCACCTTGTATATTGCCTGCCCCAGTCCTAGAATCAGCCATTTTTTTCCCAATGAGGCCTGATTCCTTCTCTGAAGCATGGTATGAGAACCCAAGATCTGGGCCCTACTTAATACATGTGCTACTTACTACTGGGATTTTATTGCTTCCAGTCCCTCTCAGCTGAAAGAGCAAGGAAATGAATCTATACTAAGATAAACATAACTTCATACTAATGTCTCTAATCTATTACCACATGGATCATTCTAGCCTCATCACTTCACTAGTCTGTAAATTCTCACTCCACCCGTGAGAGACTTAGCTCCCGCCAGCTGCCATCCATGTAGTTAGTCACTGGATTCCAGTATACACGTAGAACGGTATCAGAATGGTTAATTTACTCCACAATGGGAAACAACTTAGTACATTGGAGTTTACTGCTTACAAGCTGTTCCTCTTGCCTTCAGTCTTACAAACTCCACTTATTCCCTGCGTTACTTAGGTCAGCACTTTCCCTCCCACCCCCTTCACTGAGGTTGTATCATACATTTATAAAACAGTTACATTCTCCTGTCACAATCTGCCTTCCTGCCTGGGATCCAACAGCCTATTAAATGACTTGAGAAAATCTGGATACATTAAGATCCATTCTTTGTACTGTAAAGTTCTATGAGTTTTGATAAATGCATAATATCATGAATCCATCATTACAGCATCATACAAAATAGTCTCACTGCTCCAAATATCCCATGTGCTTTACCTATTAATCCCTCCCTTCCTTCCCCAGGACCTCTGGCAACTACTGATTTTTTTTTTTTTTTTTTACTGTCTGGACAGTTTTGCCTTTTCCAGAATGTCAAACAATTGGAATCACACAGTATGTAGCCTTTTCAGACTAGCTTCTAACCATAAGCATGTAAGGTTCATCCATCCATTTTTGTGGCTTTATAACTCATTTCTTTTTTTTTTTTTTTACAGATTTTATTTATTTATTTGAGAGAGAACATGAGCAGTGTGGGGGGAAGAGCAGAGGGAGAGGGAGAAGCAGACTCCCTAACTGAGCCACCCGGGTGCCCTGAAAACTCGTGTCTTTTTATCATGGGATGACATTCCACAGTCTATACTGTAGTTTGTTTCTCCATTTATCTATTCATCTTGGTTGCTTCCAGTTTTTGGTGACTATAAATAAAGTTGCTATAAATATTCATGCTCAGGTTTTTGTGTGGACATGAGTTTTCAAGTCAGTTGAGTAAATACGTAGGAGTGCAATTGCTAGATCATATGGTAGGACTATGTTTAGCTTTTTAAAGAAACTGCCAAATGGTTTTCTAAATTGGCTGCACTGTTTTGCACTCCCACCAGCAGCGACTGAGTTTCTTTTGCCCCACACCGTCTCTAGCATTGGGTAGTGTCAGTTTTTTAAATTTTAGGCACTGTCATACTATTATTGTTTTAATTTGCAATTCCCTATTGGCATATTGATGTTGAGGATTTTTTCATATGCTTATTTTCCATCTGTATATCTTTTGGTAAGGTATCTGTTCAGATTTTTTGCCTCTTTTTTGTTTTGTTTTTCTTATCGTTGAGTTTTAAGAATTCTTTGATCGACAGTTTCAATGCAACCTGCATCAGAATTCAAATGGTCTCTTCTGCAGAAGTAGAAAAGTTGGTCCTCAAATTCATATGTAATAGCAAGGGGCCCTGACAACCAAAACCATTTTTATTATTTTTTAAAAAATTTTTAAAAGATTTTATTTATTTATTTGACAGAGAGAGACACAGCGAGAGAGGGAACACTAGCAGAAGGAGTGGGAGAGGGAGAAGCAGGCTTCCCGCTGAGCAGGGAGCCCGATATGGGACTCGATCCCAGGACCCTGGGACCATGACCTGAGCCGAAGGCAGACGCTTAATGACTGAGCCACCCAGGCGCCCTCCCCAAAACCATTTTTAAAAAAGAAGATTCTGAAATATAACACAGAGCTAAAGTAATCAAAATAGTGTGGTACTGGCATAAGGACAGATAAATAGATCTACAGAATAGAATCAAGAGTTCAGAAATAAACTCATACATCTATAGCAAATTGATTTTTGACAAGGACACCAAGTCCATTCAATGGGGAAAAGAACAGTCTCTTAAAGAGTTGGTGCTGGGACAACTGCATTTCCACATGCAAAAGAATAAAGTTGGACCCCTACCTCACTACCATATACAAAAATTAACTAAAAATGGATCAGTAACCTAAAATATAAGAGCTAAAATCATAAAACTCTTGGAAGAAAACACAGGGGTAAGTCTTCATGACCTTGAATTTAGCAATGAATTCTTAGGGTGATACCAAAAGCACTAGTAACAAAGGAACAATTAGGTAAATTGACTTCATTTAAAAATTTTCATGCAAAAAGGGGACAATTTATTAAGAAAGTGAACAGGGGCACCTGGGTGGCTCAGTCGGTTAAGCATCTGCCTTTGGCTCAGGTCATGATCCCAGGGTCCTGGGATCAGGTCCCACACTGTGTTCCCTGCTCAGTGGGGAGCCTGCTTCTTCTCTGCCTGCCACTCCCCCTGCTTGTGCTCTCTCTCTGACAAGTAAATAAATAAATAAATATCTTTAAAAATAAGTTAAAAAAAAGAAAGTGAACAGACAACCTACAGAATGGGAGAAATATTTGGAAATAGCATAAAGCATCTAATAGCTAGAATCTATAAACAATTGCTACAGCAGATCAACAAAAAGGAACCCAATTGAAAAATGGGGAAATAAATAACTTGAAAGTACATTTCTCCAAAGAAGATATATAAATAGCCAATAGCACATGAAAAAAAAATGTCAGCATCATTAATCAGCAGGAAAATGCAAATCAAAACTATAGTGAGGTACCGTTTCACACCCACTAGGATGACTGGAATAAAAGCAACAGTAAATTACAAGTGTTGATGAGGATGTGGAAAAAGTAAAACCCTCATACACTGCTGGTAGGAACGGAAAGTTTTGCAGCCTCTATGGAAAAATAGTTTAGCAGTCCCTCAAAAAGCTAAACCTAGAACTACCATATGACCCCAGCAATTCCACACCCAAGTATATCCCCTAAGGAATTGAAAGCAAGAATCTGAACAGACACTTGTATATCAACATCCAATGCAGCATTATTCACAATAGTTTCAAGATGGAATCAACCCAACATATGAACAGATCAACAAGATGCATACGTGTATAGTGAAGATTTCTTCAAACGTAAAAAGGAATGAAGTTCCTATACATGCTACTTCGTGGATGAACCTTGAAAACATCATGCTAAGTGAAATAAGCCAGATATGAAAGGACAAATACATGATTCCACTTACATGAAATACCTAAAAT